GGGGAGAGGTAGAGGGAGAGGGAGGAGAGGGAAGGAAAGGTAGGAGAGGCAGCAGCTTAAGACAGGTGATCTCAGATCTTTGGTGTGAGTGGCTGTGTATTTAAAGTGGCCTCCAGGGGATAGGTACTAAGATACTGCACACCATGGAAAGTGACACTCATTCTACAAGAACATGTTTGAGCAGCAAGCCTCTCATGATACACTTAGGAGCTCCTATTTGTGGGAAGGAGCTTTATGAGCAGAAGAGGCAAAATTATTACTGAAAAGAAGAGAGGCTAAACTTCCCTCATGGAGGCTGCCTTTAATCCCAGCACTCAGGAGGCAGAGGCAGTAGGATCTCTGTGAGTTCAAGGCCAGCCTGGTCTACACAGCGAGTTCCAGGCCTGCTGGGGCTACAGGGAGACCCTGTCTCAAAAAGACAAAAAAAAAATCCCCACCATGTCTTGGGGAGGGGTGATGATGCTGATGTACCACCTGCTGAGGAACTATTGGCAGTTGATGGATGCTGGGGGGGAGAGAGTCTGATTTCTTCTGAGATATGGCTGCCCAGACTCCTGTAGATTGTCCTACACCCCCATACACGAAGTAAACTCAGTGGGTTTATCAGTGGGTTTAAAAAGAGAGTACAGGAAAGTTGGGAAGGAACAATGGAGGGAGGGATGGGGAGAAATTAGAGGGGAGGAAAAGAGGGATGGGTTTGATCAAAGTGCATTATATAGATGTGTGTTGAAATTCTCAACAAAAAGGGGAAAAATCTCCAGAACCCAAGTAGATGCCGATGGGCAGGGCAGCCCACCTATAATGCCAGCACTCAGAAGATGGGGACGGGGGCTCCCCAAAACAAGCTGGATAGCTAGGTTAGCCATATCATGAGCTCTGGTTTCAGTGAAGAGGCCCTGCCTTAAGGACTAAGGTGGAGAGTGATTGTAGAAAACTCTTGACATCAGCCTCCACATCAAATGCATATATATGCACGTATGCTCTTGTGCACACACACACACATGTGCCCACACACATAAGGACATACATACACACATGCATACCACATACACACGAGAGAGAGAGAGAGAGAGAGAGAGAGAGAGAGAGAACTTTGGAGTCACGGAGGCCTGAAATGTCATGTTCTCAGCAAAATATAGAAGAAGCAAAAGATTTTGGAGTCTAAACTTTTCTACTTTCTTGCTTTTTCATCACTTGTTTCTAGTTTCACTAACGGGTAATTGTATAAATTGCTTTTATTTTCAAGAATTTGAAGTTTTCATTGTAGTCGAAAATTGTGAGTTTTAATAAATGTCATGTATTCACCTGCTGTCAAGGTGTAGACAGCATTATATTTCCATTTGTTGAGCATTTAAAATTATATAATGCATATTTCTGTTTTTAATGACACATTTCAGATATACCTGTAGAGAGGAATTTACTGTTTATTTTCTTAAGTCAGTGTCTCACTATGTAGCCCCAGTTGGCATGAAACTCCCTATATAGACCTGACTGGTCTTGAATTTACAGTGATCCTCCTGCCTCTGCCTCCTGATGGAAGATGTCATGACAAAGATGGTTTTGCCTCAAGGAGTGCATAGTTTCTTGCTTTTTTTAACTAAATATTGAGAATTTCATACATGTATATAAGGTGTTTTGATCAAATCCATGCCCACTCCCTCCCCTCCAACTCCTCCCATAGCTCCCCATCACTTTTTTCTGGTAACTTCATCTACTCTTTCTTCTTTTATTTATTTTTTAATGGGGGCTTTTGGCTACTCTAACGTTCCCCCCTCTGAAGAGGTAACCCTAAAATCTTTTAAAGATTAGATAAAAGCTCCCAAATATTTTTGACATTTTGGGCCTTTGGAACAGAATATGCTGCTAAGAGGTCCAAGGAATTTTGATTTTTATCCAAGAAAAATCTGGCTACTTTTCTTTGGGGCCTAGCCAATTCCTACCTCCTATTGTTATCACACCATCCTCTGAAGGAGTTACCCAAATTGCCAGTAGGGAATCAGGACACAGACTTCTCTGGCTTCTTCCACATTGAACAGGGACGCAGGGTGAGGCAACTGGAGTACCCCTTCAGTGGGTCTAT